ACAATTACTCTAATCAAACATCAAATATCAAAGTCAAACCAAACAAACATCAAATTAAACAAAGCAATTGAATGAGATAGAGTTTAGAAATGCTCATTGATAATTAAGAAGATCTCTAACACAATTGTCACACTTGCATCTTCAATCTCTCAATCACCATTGAAATTCCTCACTTTCTCTCTCTAAAACTACTCCTAATCTAGAGAGATAAGCTCTCAACCTAAGCTAAAATATGAGAGAGAAATTATAGGCTATAAACTAAGTTCCCCTAATTTACCCCAAAAATGGGTATTTATAATTACAAGGAGAAAAGAAAATAAAAGAGAAAAAAAAATAAAAGAAAAGAAAATAAATAAGAAAAAGAAAAAGAATAATAATAATAATAATAATAATAATAATAATAATAATAAAAGGAAACTAAAAGAAAATAAAAGAAAAACAAAACAAAAATAAAAAAGGAAAATGAAGTCAGTGGACTTCGATTTCACGCTGCTCTTGAAAATGGGAAATAAACCCATGCTTCGCACACCAATCACACACTATCACAACCGTTCGATCATCTATTTAATCAAGATCAACGGCCGAAATAAACCCCAGCTTGTGCGCACTCACTTGGACGCTGAAAGGGCTGCTAGGAGTTAATTGTGGGGCTGCGGGTTTGCTTTTGCGGTAGAAGATGGAAATTATGGTTGCGGGGCTGCAGTTGGTGGCTGATTTTGGGTGGTCTTGCGGCTGGAAGGTGGTGCGAAGGTGGTCAGTTGCGGCAGCAAGGAGGTGCTGTTGTTGGCTGAAATTGGTAGCTGGTTTGTCACGGTGGTGAGGTCGGTGGTTGTTGCGGGCTGATATGGCAGTGAATTGGGGATCTGTTGCGTGAACAGGGGAGCTGCGTGAACAGGGTAGCTGCGTGAACAGTGAGCTGGAGCAGGGGAAGGTGATCGCGCCCGCGGTGAGCCCGCGGCCAGACCGCGGCTGCTTACTGCCTGAAATTGGCTGTTTTGGTGTACGCGATCCCGCGCCCGCGGCAGGCTGCTCGGCTAGTTGCTTGACTTTCATGCTTGGCTTAGTTGCTTGACTTTCATGCTTGGCTTCCCGAACATGTCTCCGTTGATTTCCTTGAATGCACTTGAGCTTCCTCTTCGATAATTAAATCCCGGGAACCTCGACACACCTACAAAACAAGTCAAAGAAACGAAGAAGCGAGAGAAATAGCCGAGAAATGAATAAAATAATAAGAAAAACATTAAAAGCACACATTTCTCTAAACTAACACACATACACGCAAATCAAGCTTTATTACCTAAAAACACGATATAAACGACTAAAAACGAGAATAGAAATATAAGGAAAACATAGCCTAAAGGTGCCATAAATGGCACGGATCACAAGATAGTGTAAACTCAATTTATTTGCAAACATGCTTTTAAAACCAATTCCAATAATTAATCCAATAATTCAAAACTCATTATTCCAAAACCGATTCCAATGATTCATATTCAAAATAATTGTTAATAAAAATTCCTTTATTAAGAACCAATTCCTTTTAATTCAATACCTCACCCAAGTGTGCACACCCCCCCAAGCTAGTCTCCTTATATTACAAGGCTATTCTTGAGGAAAGACCTGATCATACAAAGCCCAAGGCCTTATCAAAAACCAAATACACATAGTGGGATTACTAACATGCTTATACAACATTAATAATAATAATTTAATGGTTCAATAAATCCTTTTAATATCCAATAATTCCAATATAATTCAAAATCCTTTTTAATAATTCCACATGCTTTCAAAATCAAACCTTGTAAATAAATTCTTGAGAATAAAATCTCATATTAATAAATTTTCAAAATCAATAACTCTACCTTGAAAAACCTTTATTTAATTCAACAAACCTTTTAAAATCAATTCCTTTATTTAAACACGATAAGTAATTCAAACCATTCAAAACATGATTTAAAAAATCAATTATTCAAAATAATTTTATTAAAATCTATACCTTCAAACATAATTTATTTCAAAATCATAATTCAAATCAATTTAATTTAATCATCAATCAAATCATGTAAAACATGTTATTCAAACCAATCACTTTCAAAGGTATCTAGCCACCTAAACGTACCTTGATCCTTGCTAGAAAAACCATACAAAAAGAACCTCAAGAACCTTTATCAAACACACCCTACAAATAAATATAACCTTAATCAATATAAGGTTAACAAATAATTAAAAACCCCCAACTATATGTACATGAACCTTTTAAATTAATTTCTCATAAACGTCATTAAAAAATATGATTTTATATAATTAAAACTACTCATAATAATTAATTATAAATCCCCCATAATAATAATAATAATAATAATTGAATAAGAAAAGAGAATACGAAAAGATAAGAAACCAAGGAAAAGAGAAGAATTGGATTTGCGTTGGAAAGAATAGGCAGAACTTGTAGAGGTTATAACTCCTTCGATATAACTCCGAATTGGGTGATTCTTGAGCCTAACCTCAAGGATTTTTTGAGAGGAACAATCTTTTGTGAAACGTCAATACCCCAAAAACTGACGAAAATTGGCTTCAAAGATAAACGGGATGATTTGTGTAAAATTGAGGAGAAAAAAAAGAAGAGAATTGGTGTGAAGAATGTGAGAGGTATGAAAGGGTATTTATAGGCTAGCTCATGCAAGAATTATGGCAACAGAATGTGGGAAGAATTAAAGGCAAGTAGGGTTTATGAGATTACTTGGAGAACTAAGTAAAAGAATTAAGGAAAGTTTGGATATTAAGGTGATTGTGTATACTTGAATATGGAAGGTATGTATGTCATGAAAAATAATAAGGAAATTAGAATTACTTGGGGAATAAATAAGAAGAATAATTGGCAAGAAAATATGATGATTGATATTAAAAAGATGGAGAATTAGAATTAAGGAAAATAGGAGATTTTGGTAGATAATTAAAAAATAACTTTACCAATTAAATTCCCCCAAAATAATTCAATAGTGCCGAAAATATTGAGCTTACCATAGCTCAAATATTCGGATTCCTCTAGATATATTTAGGAAGATTTTGCTCGGTTTGTAAGGAATAAAATAATTGTAAAAAAATATAGAATAAATAATTAAATAATTAATTAATTAAATACCAATTATTTACCAATAAATAACTAAGAAAAATCAGATTTTCCATACATGGAAAATTCGAAAATCCTAGCTATTATTGGAAAATTTCGGCCATAATAAAATAATTAATAAAATATTATTTTTCTTTAATTAAAATATCCAAAATATGTAAATAATCTGGTTTTTAAAATAGGATAAATGGATAATATATCTTATCCAAAAAAAAAAAAAAATTAATTTTCAAAATACTTTTGGCGCCAAAATTCAAATATTATTTTGGCTCCAAATAATAAATTTACTAAAATACCCTTTTTATTAAACTACTTCTTAATTAATTAATTAATTAGAAAATACGTATGAAAATACGGGGCATTACACCCTTATAAAATGTTCATGTAGAGCATGCCACCATTTATCTCACCGATAAACAAAACTTGTATATCGAGGTACATACTTGTAAATAATAGCACTTGCACATGTAAACGCTGAATTAAATATTACGGAGTATATACTAGGAAAAGATTGAGGAATCTATCAGTAGTTATCGTTTGCAATGTAATCTAACGGCCGTTAGAATCCAAATCCCTTGGAATGTACTTCATGCATTCTATAACTTTTAACTCAAGCGACTTAGAGCAACTTCAATGGTAAGCTAATTTGACAATTAACTAGTCATGCCACATAAACTTTTAAGCTAATTATCATTTTAGCTACTTTTTGCTTCAATGGCTAGCTATTACTTTAGTATTAGTTGTTGGATAGAAATTACATGAAAGAGCTTACTTGGTGCAATGAGCATTTTTATTTTGGCAAGTTTAATTCTCAAGCAAATTAGCTTGGCAAAGCTAAATTGCTTAGCCAAGCTAATTGAGTTTTCTAGCTCCAATGGTCAAGCTAGTAGCTAGGACACTATTGAAATTTCAAGCAAGTCCCTAGCTACAACCATTGGAGTTGCTCTTATGAGAAATTATTATGTTTTTTTCAATCTTAAGTTCACCAGGAAACAATGGAATACCCAAAAAGCTCTTTTGATAAATAGTGGTTAATGAAATCCACTTACTTCACTCAGTATTGTCTCTTTTAAGTAGGGCCATGGACCAGGATGCCCAATCGTTAGCAAACCTCTTCTTTCTCGTCAGTGGCGATTCCAGAAATTGTTTGTTATGGGTTCGAAGTCACTAAACACATGTACAAATATATAGTAGTAAAATCTAATACAATAGCATAATCTACAATACAAACCAAAAAAATAAAATATATGGGTGTGCACATGTAATAAAAGAAAACAATTTAAGAAAAATTATAATTTGAAGTCGACGATCATGGAAGTTCTTCAAACAAAAATTAAAAATTTAGGGACTAAAAGTTATAAATTTTAAGAATAGATTAGAAAGAGAGGCAGGGGATGTTAGGAATGGATTCTATTAGAATGTTGTCAAACTTTAAAAGGTTAACATTGGGTTAATAGGTGATTGGGTATAAGTATTATATATGGGTAAGCAAAAGGGAAAAAAAAATAGAAACATTAAAAAAAATAACCAAAAAAGAAACTTGCCAGGATTTGAACTCGCAACCTGTGAGTTAGATGAACATAGCTCCTACAGCTGCGTTGCTGTAACGGATAACAAACATATTTGCGTTTTATTTTATTATTTAATTCACTAGTATTATTAATTTTAAAACCTGATCAGTTTTTCTCCAAATCTAGTATGGGTTCAGCTGAACCCACTGAACCCATACTGGAATCGCCACTGTTTCTCGTGTACTTGTTTCTAACCCACCTCATATCTTTAGCGTATCATTTGTGTTGGACTTTTAAACTTGTTAACTCTTACATTTTGTGAGTCCATAAGTGTGATATGAAGTATAAATAATTAAACTAAACACTAATACAAACAAAAACAAAAACACAAACTAAATCAATTCATCACATTAAATCGACCAAAGCGACTCTACCACCACCACTCTCTATCAATCCTCGTATAACAGCAAACCATTCTATCATAAACACAAAGAAAATTGACAATGATGGGATGAAATAGGCAAGTAGCCAATTTCCAACTTATCATTCCAGGTAATTCCCAACACCAAAAAACTGTTCACTCCACCCAAAAAGGTAAAAAGACAAATACCCATTTCATAAAAGTGTTTTCTTCCCCAAAATCATCAAACCAAATTCCAATAATATATCATCATACTCCATTTAAAGCAACCCCACTTCACCACCATTACCAAGTTTACAGCCAACATTTATATTATTATTATTATTATTATTATTATCATAAATTTATTAAAAAAAATAAAAATATTATCATAAATATTAATATAAATTCTAATAAAATATAAAAATGGCGATTATTCCCTCCACTTCTTCTCTCTTTTCTTCTTGTCCGATCACTCTTGTTAGAGTGCTACTACTCTCTTCTTGAAACCCCACAATTTTATTCTTTTCCTCTACCTATAATTCTCCCTAATAATTCCCCAATATTTAGATTTTTTTTTTCCTTTTAATTTCCACAATTTCGCGAAATAAAATTCAACAACTTAATCATGGGTAACGTCGGAAGCAGCGGCCAAAACGGTGGAAATCGACGGCGTCAAAATAGCCGTCGAAACCACCCACAACCCCCACCACCGCCACCGCCACCTCAACCACCGCAACCGGAGATCACCGGTAATCGGTACGTTTTCGCAGCGGCAACACCGTTTCCTTCAACGGGCTATTACCAGTATCATCCACCGGCTCCCGGATATTATCCACCTCCACCACCACCACCACCCCTTTCTTCGGCGATGCCGATGCCGATGCCGTTGCCAGCACCGTATGATCACCACCATCAGGGCCACCATCATGCTAATTGGACTGCTGGGAGGTACCATTATGGACCCATGATCCCGCCGCCGGCTACGCCGTATATTGAACACCAAAAGGCAGTTACTATTAGGAATGATGTGAATTTGAAGAAGGAGAGTTTGAGGGTTGAGCGTGATTCTGAGAATCCTGGCAAATTTCTTGTTGCCTTCACTTTTGATGCTACTGTTGCTGGGAGGTATAATATATTTTCTGGGGTTTTGTTTTAATTAATTTTTCTTCTGATTCTTGATTGGTGTTGGTGTTGGCGTTGGTTTTGATTATGATATGAATTATATTATTTATGTTTAGTTTATGTTTATGTTTTGTTATGAAATTGTGTTGATGATTATTATATGAATTATATTATGTTTAGTTTAATGTTTTGTTATGAAGATGTGTTGATGATTGTTAGTTTGTTATTATAATTTATTTTACTTGAACTTGGATGCTAGGTTATTTTGTGAATATCTTTATGATTATACTCGTTTTAGCAATATGAAGTGTATTGGTGTTCATGCTCGTGTCGGTGTGTTGAGACGTGAATTGAAGAGTAACATAAGTTATGTAATTATTATGTTTCATTTTTTGATTTGTATGCTGTTTTACCATAATTAATTAATTATACTGCGTGTTCTTTGAACATTTCTAATTTTGATTTGATCTGATTTATACAGTGTTAATGCTCCCCCAGTTTTCAGTTGTGCAAAACCTTATGTTATGCATTTTTGTAGAGTGATTGTTAGTTGGTTGTCCTACTTGAAATTAGGTAAACAAATTCTCTATATGAGCTATATGGTGAAGCCTTTTGAATGTTTTTGTGAGTTGATAAGTTTGGTTGGCAACTTTAGTGATTTGTTATTCGGCATTTGCTGGTGATAATATAGGTGCGTGATCACCATGATGCGAAGGTAAATTAGAGGAAGAGATTGAAACTAGGTCTATCCATTAGCTCTAGTTAATTTATCTAGAGTGATTTGAGAAGTATGTCCTACCCTTCATTTTTTTTTTCAAAATTGAAAATTTGACCCTTAAAGCCAGTCGGAATAGAACTGCTCAGTTGAGCTTTATGGATTCTCAGCATGCACAACTATCAGATCCATTACTGTGATTAGAGGAGCAAAAATGCCATTATATGTGTGAAGCATTCCTGTTATTTTATAGGAGGAATCCTCTTCAACTAGTAGCATTTAATCATCGTTGCTACAATTCATTTAAGCTTTTCTCTCGTATAGCCTGAATGTGCTATTAGTTTCTTTGCAGTTTGGAATTTAAAGTCTTTGTAATAGTGATATTTCTAAAATATTCGAGTAGGCTGTAAGACTTGCTTGCATCTGTAAATAAATCTGGACTTAAAGTTATGGTGATTCATGATATTACACTACATTTTTTTTTTTCCGAGAGAATAGTTTAACAATATACGAGTATTTAACAATGCATAGATGCTTCGTATTTTTGTGGAATGATAATTCCATGTTTCTGTTATCTTTTTTTTGACACAATGTGTTTCTGTTATCTTGTGTGCCTATTCCTTCAATTTTCGTATAGTGATTTGTCCAGTCTTTCTGTGCAAGTGCTCTTTTTCCAATGTAACTATTGGTTGTTATCATAGTTTTCCCTGACATAAGGTTATCATTCTATTTGTTACCGCTATTAATGTAATTGCTGTCATTATCATTCGTTTGTACGTTTTTCCTAACCTTTTTCCAAAATATAAGTTACTTACATTTAATATTTTGAGTCCCTTCTGGGACCCAAAATGTGGAAAAATTATTCTCTTGAACCTTTTAGAAGTGGCCTTTCAACAGCTTTTGGATTGTTGAATTAAGGTAGGGTTAAGGCTGGAGTACATTAAAACCTCCTTTGACCCTGTTTTTTAAGACTTGTACTGGGCAGTTGTGGCTATATTACATATACCTCTTCAATCTTCACAGTTAGTGGAAGTCACATATTGTTCATACATTTCGTAGCTTCGCTTATAAAAAAAACTGTTGTTCTGCTTGCAGCATATTGATTTGCACACTCTATCGGTCAATCCTCACCCTTTACAAGATTGACCAGAAAAACTCTTCAGCTTTGTTGTTGAAGCTCATTAACTAATGTAGTCACTCTAAGCTAAGGTCAGCTGCTTCTCTTATTTATGAGCTATGGTGTCCAAGGTTTTCCCAAAATTTCCTGTATAGGAGATTCCAAATAATTGGGCTAATTTGTGGTAGTGCTTTTCTCAGTTACTTTGTTTGGACACCTTGGCCTCTCTTTGTACTTTGTTCTGACATTTTAAAAAAAAGTTCCACCCCCCCCCCCCCCCAAAAAAAACCCAAGTTTTTTATAATTCAGTAGTCTGTTTGATAGTAGGTAGGCTCAAGACGAGTTTTATCTATTGTACGCTAAAATTTTATGGGGGCATTTGGTTTGGAAAATGGAAACGGAGTGGAAAGGAAACAAATATCAAGGGGGGGTGGGGGGAATCATTTAACTATTATCTTTTCATTTGTTTGGTTTAATCATAGAAAGAGTATTTGTTAAAAGGAGGGTAAGGGTATTTGTTACCCCAAGTTTTTGAGAGGTAACAAATGAGGGGTAACTATTACCCTGAGGTAATGGTAGTTGTTACCATGCCTTCTAACCAAACACACGCTAATGGTATCGATTTAATGGAATCCGTTTCCAATCTAAAAAATACCCTAATTAAACGCCCCCTAAATATAAACATCTCACATCTGCAATATCCCCATGAAAAGCCCAGTAAATAATGTAGAACAGAGTGCAAAAGGCTAAAGAATTAATACTTTGTATATTATATATTGGAAGGCCCTTATATTAAGACCAAATGAACAGTGTGGACTTGTTATACCCTCTATTAAAAGCTGCTAAGAGAGAAGTGGGGTGAGGTGGGGCTGTTGGGTATCTTATTTTATTTATTAACTTTTTCTTTGAGAGGTAAACTTATAATGTTGCAATTTCTTGATTGGTGTCTTGGTGATATAAATGGAGAAATTTGAATAATACATACTAACATGGTCCAGGCAATGGCCTGAGAAAAGTAGTTCATTTTTATTACTTTTGTATTAGTGATGTCATCTGTATAATGGTTGGGCTTAAAATTCCATGTATGAGAGTTGCAAGGAATTTGACTGACTTTTAAGGCATTATGTGCTTTGGGCTGGGATGGAATGGTCCCAGAAATTTAATCTAGATGCCACTTTATTACCTCCTTTGTGACAGTTTTGATGGTAATGGTGATGGGTAATTAATGATGAAGGCAGAATAGATTTGTCATTTCAGAAGAGAATTTGACTAACCACTATGAAATCTTAGTTTTTACTAATAGTTCCTTTAAGGTTGCAAGTTTATTTAGATATGTTTTGATTTTTCTGCTTGATGTGCTCTCGTTAAAGAATGGTGTTACCAGACAAATAAATTCTGCTCTGAAAACCTGTTACAGATTTTCCATTAACATAAAAACTCTTAATGTGCATATCTTTTCCTCTAGAAATAGGCAACATTATTTCTTCCTGTATTCTGTCAATTAAAACAGGCACCACATTCTTAATAGTCTCCAAAAAGCTTTAAGAGTAGAAGTGTACTATATCTAAAATTAGTATTTCTAGTTAAACCTGCCCTTATTCTACTCTTCTGTGTACTGTCTTTGCTTTAGTTGATGATTTTAGTCATGGTGGAAACTCAAATAATTAAGGTGGAACAGAAATTTGACCGTCACATATCATTATTCTTTAATCTGTTCCTCAAGGATTTTAGCCTTTATGAACTGACAATGTTCCCTTTTTGTGGTTTCTGGAAACAGCATAACTATAATATTCTTTGCAAAGGAAGGTGAAAATTGCAAGCTGACACCAACGAAAGAAAGCATTCTCCCTCCAGTGATTGTACACTTTGAGCAAGGCTTAGGCCAAAACTTCATACAGCCTTCTGGAACTGGGATTGCCTTTTCTATGTTTGAGGAGGCTGAATTACTCCAGGATGTAGATGTATATCCTTTAGCGATAAAGGCGGATGCATGCCCAGCTAATCTAACAGATGCTGATGGAGAGCCTGTTCCTGGCAGCACAAACTCTCAGATAACTCAAGCAGTATTTGATAAAGACAAAGGGGAATATAAAGTGAAGGTGCTTAAGCAGATTCTGTGGGTTAATGGGATGAGGTACGAGCTACAAGAAATTTATGGAATAGGGAACTCGGTTGAAAGTGATTTTGATGGAAATGACCCTGGAAAAGAATGTGTTATCTGCTTATCAGAGCCTAGAGATACAACAGTTCTCCCATGCCGGCACATGGTAAATGTCTTTTCTTTCTAGTTAGTTATTAGTACCTTAGCTACACAAGACCATTGCAATGAATTTCTAGTTTTTTAAGGCATGCCTGCCTCAGACAGCCCGGTGGCAATCACACAATACCCTCACAAGCTTATCTTTTTTCGTATGAACTTGGTGTGGGATATTCTTGTTTTGGGTACTGGATTGAGCCAGGGATGTCAATATGCCGTGTGCTTGCCTTCAAATACCACAATTGATCGCATATAAATTATAGTACTTTTATTTGTCGGCCTTTGGGTACTGAAGTTTGCACCGTTTTCCTTTTGCAGTGTATGTGTAGTGGATGCGCAAAAGTTTTGAGGTTTCAGACTAACCGTTGCCCCATATGCCGGCAACCAGTTGAGAGGCTTCTGGAGATCAAAGTCAATAATGGGAATGAAGAAGAAAGCAACTGAGTTGCTCAATGGTTATTGGCTTCTTCAGATTGGTTGCTGCCAAATTTTCCCTTTTTTAAAAAATTTTTATTTTTACGATTTCTATATATTTTAATTGTAGAGCTCTTATTTGCTCTATTATCCTGAAAAAAAAAAGTGATGTAACAAAAGTCCTTGTATAAAGGAATGAACAAGAATTTGACACTAAAAATATTCCACACATAAGTTGATGGGGTTAATTGTAAGTAATATAGTAAAGTTTGAATAACATATTGGTGATTACTATATTTATCTTGTTAACTTAATTCCTTTGATGAAATGTTCAAACTTGTCCAGTGGGTTGAACTTACTTTTACTAGCCTTACTAATGTGGCTCGAACTTTCTAATGTGACCTGACTTTGTCTAACTAAAAATTTGTTTAAGCAAGTTAATTATTACTCCGTTTATATAGCGTCTCAAAAGATTGCTTGGGCGCTAAATGGCCATCCCACATCAAACCTGCAACAGCACAAACAATGGAATGCACCTCATACATCAACATCTCAATCATTTATAGACTGCAGATACACATTACGTCATTACATAATGATGGTCAACACAATGGTTAAACTACATCATACAAAGTTTACCACACAACATCGCCTCAATATACTAAGAGTTCGGAGGCATTTTATTAAATGCTGAAATAAGAACACGAGCTTACGGGAACTTTTGATAATTTAACAGCCCCACCATTGATGGGCAAAACACGAGCTACTGAAACTTTTGATAATTTAGTTACCCCACCATTGATGGGCAAACACACCAATGCTCCTTAGGCTCTTAAAGAGATTGGTGTGGCTTTCACCAATACCAGCACCATTGTCATAATCTGCATTGGAGAACTGCAGAAACAGTTCGTCAACATAGCAAATGATGCCACTTTCAAACAGTTCGGATAGAAATTTCATTTCAGCCTTTCCCATATTCATCTTCAAGACCACAAAATCAGCAAGTTCTACAGTTTCCTTGAACCAAACAAGGAAATCGAAATCTTCATCATCTACGAGTGGCTCACCATCATTCAAAGAGTTCGATTTATCTTTGATAACACTTCCACCCAACGCAGGGTGATAGATGAAGGTAACACCGGGGCATTTCACATGGGAAGACATAACCAAGGCATCATGATCGACAATGTAAACATTAAAAGCTTTTGAATCGATAGGGTATGATGGCAAGAACCAATTGCTATTGCTAAAATTCGCAGCTTCCTTTGCACCCATATCGACATAAACCATTTTACCCTTCGGGGGTACACCGACCAATTTAGGTAGATACTCAATTCTCTTATCATCTGCCTTGGGCTTCTTGTCAATTACAGGTTCTATTTTGTTCATGAGAGGTTTGTTGCGCTTGATAGAAGGACAGTTTGTTGGCAGGTGATACTGCTCAAAAGAACCTAACTTGTTACCTCTCTTCTTAAAAGCAACCAATGTAAAGCTGCCCAAGCTCACAACATCAATCACACTGGATCTTTTGAGAAACGACGACACTGTAGTTGCTGACCTAATCAAACTATCGTGATTGGAACCATCACTATCCACTGTAATAGCAGCAATCCCACCGGATTTGAGAATGCGCTCAACTTCGCTCACAAGGACAGCAGGAACAGAGACCTTACTAAGGTCATTCGCAATGACAAAATCAAATGAATTGTCATCGAAATCAAGCTCATAAACAACTTGCTTTTGCTTAAGCATGAAAAAAGGGTGCCTCCGAATCTCCTCAACATTCAAAAACCCGATTTCACGCAATGCAGAGACAGCCGATGCTGTCCCCTGCCCAATACAAAGAGCTTTTGATCCATAATTCAGCAAATTCTTACCCATAAGCTCCCTAACCACATCAATAGTCAAATTTACATTATTTTGACACATTTCAGATCTCAGATGTGGCAATGCGAATGGAGCAATGGGTTTAAATACCCGGCCGACAATCGAATTCAGGCCGAAATAACCCAATTCAGTGCTACATCCATCAGTGTTCAAATACATGGGTTTTGCAGGATCAAAATCAATCACAAGTTGCAAAAGGGGCAACATGGAAATGACAAGAGCAAACATTAAAGTTCGGATCGCCAATCGTCTGGCTAATGACCCATGAAGTGCTTGCCATTTCACAGCCTTCACACCCCCGAAATTATGCACCCCACCCATATTTATCATCGATTTCAACAATTCGAAGCACAAAATGGGGGAAAATTACAGCAGTTTTTTAGCAATTAAGCCTGACCCACAACTTAATGGGATCTGGGTACTATACAAGATCAGAATCAAACTCTAATTCTTCGCAAATTCAGTGAAAATAATCAATAGAAATGCCAAAAGACGGTAAAATTGATGAAATTTAACGAGTACAAAACCTGGAGGAGGTGTGATTTCCACCCACGAGGAGACCCATTGATTTTTGGTACCCTAACCAAACCCTCCTTGGAATTCTTCTAGACATTGGTTCAAACCAAGCAAAATCCATCATTGTTACTCAAAATTAAATTACCCCATTATTTTTTTTGCAAGAAAAACTACATAATTTGTGTGTTTTTTTTTGGCAATTAGATCTGGAAAAAAAAAGTGGAAGTTGCAGTGTAAGTGTGGGTTTTTGGGAAGAAGAGTGAATGTGAAGTGAGAGATTGAGAAACAATGAACCTGGTGGTTGCTTACAATAATGTAAAAGGAGGCAATTTTTTTGACATCATTTGGGGTGGGCTGTATTTTGGACGAAGGTTCCATGTGTGGGAACTGATTATTAATCAGTTATCGTCAATCAATGCGTGTCAGTAATCGTACGTGTCAATTTCAAGTACGTACTTTGCCGATTTGGCATGATTGTATGCATGATGGATTGATGGCATCTAAAGTTGCGGATGGGTGAATGGGTCGGCTGGTAAAATGGCTCAACCCGATATACAAGCCCAACTTCGCAAGGAAACACATGTTGGTGAGTATTGGATTGTAAATGACTAAATGGACATCATTTTAAAATATTCACGTGACCATATGAGTAAAGGTTTTAAAATCTTATCTGATCCGACCCGATTTGAAACTAAGTCGAAAAATATTCGATTTAAATTTTAACACGCATGGACTCAATATAATTTTGATGAGTATTGGATTGTAAATGGACATCATTTTAAAATATTCACATGACCATATGAGTAAAGGTTTTAAAACCATACCCGATCCGACCCGATTTGAAACTATGTCGAAAAATATTCGATTTAAATTTTAACACGCATGGACTCAATATAATTTTGGTGAGTATTGAATTGTAAATGGACATCATTTTAAAATATTCACATGACCATATGAGTAAAGGTTTTAAAACCATACCCGATCCGACCCGATTTGAAACTAAGTCGAAAAATATTCGATTTAAATTTCAACACGCATGGACTCAATATAATTTTGGTGAGTATTGGATTGTAAATGGACATCATTTTAAAATATTCACATGACCATATGAGTAAAGGTTTTAAAACCATACTCGATCCGACCCGATTTGAAACTGAGTCGAAAAATATTCGATTTAAATTCCAACACGCATGGACTCAATATAATTTAACATGATTTAACTTTAAAAATTAACCCGACCCGACCTCACCGAATCCGATTCGATCATCGGAATTGACATCCTTACTCAAGTCAATATGTGCGTTGGCTCACATATTTTTGGCTTGTTTACAAAACAATTTTGTCTTTATTGCATGGATTGAATTTTTATTAGATTACATGTATTTATGTACATTTATTTCCTCATCCACTTTTCCCCTGACTTCTAAAAATTAGTGAAGATTTGATATAATATTATGGTTGTATGTATTATTTTGGAGGATGAGTTATTTCTTAAAGAAAGCATATCAAGTATGTTGGACTACACGATTCAAGTCAGCAGTAAAGTCAGCAAGAGTCAGCAGCATAGGAGGAATTTTAAAGGGAGGAAAGTTAGGCATTTGTAAATGCATAACATTAATTAAAATATTATTAAAATACATGATAGAGAGAGAAAAGAGGAGAAAGATAGGAAGAGAGAGGTCTGTAGGTGGACCCCACCTATTTTTTGGTCGGATTGTATCACGTGATGGGGGACCATATGTTGATTGTTCCACTGAAAGTTTATATGGTACCATTGAATCCTCAGTGGTACTATTTATGCATAAATTTTATACAACTGAATGCATATATAATATCATTATGTGCATATATAGTATCACTGTATATTCAGTGGTACCATTTGATCATCCAATGATACCAGAATATGCATTCGTTTGTACATATATATAATTACATGAATACTCCTTGTTATGTATCTGTAAATGCCTAACTTTCCTCCATTTCTAGTTCCTCGCAGCATAGTCAGCAAGTTCCAGCTCAGCAAATTAGTTTGTTAGAAAGTTGTTAGAGGTTGTTAGAGTTTTGTAACCAACTATTGTATAAATACCAAACTCATGTTATTTGTATAAATACAAAACTCATCAATTTAATAATAATAATTATAGACACCTAAAAATGTCTCCCCGAAACCAAACTTGATAATGAACAACCTTTCACCACCATTATTGGTCGAGTTGAGTATTTAACCTTTAGTGTGCTTAATCCATGTTTCCATTAAATACATTTCATAAACCAATCCAATTCATAGCTCATTTCCCTAAACCATAACTTACTTTCCACTTTTCGTGTCCACATCACAAAACCGAGAGAAAATGATTTTTTGGCCCTATAATTCTGATTCATTTATTATTTATTTGGATAGGCCTTGAAATAAGCTTTCCAAAAATATATCATAAGCCCAATTCCGATTTAAAAGGAAGAAGATATGAGGAAAATACTAAACGCGGCCCAAAACCGACACCCTTTCACTTAAACGGTCATATCTTAAAATATACAAATTATTTTTATCTGATTCTATTTGGGTTGGAAATTATACTTGATAAGCTTTCCAATGATATGTTATATGCCTTATTTTGAGTTACGGATCAAAAGTTATAGTAGTTTTAAAAACTTGTAAAAAGCTGGAATTACCGCGCAGCAGCTAAAATGCCGCGATGAGCCAAATGCTGCCGTGGCACAGTGCATATTGCCATGACACGGTACTCTTCACCGTGTCACGGTGCTTTTTCTTGTATTTTCCGCATTTCCTCACGCAATTCGAATAAAAAAGTACACCGTGACACGCACCACATGCCGTGCCACGGTGGACTTTGCCGCGTCACCGCATTTTCTGTCGTGTCACGGTACATGTGGTGTGTCATGGAATTTTCGCGTGTTTTCTCCGCGTAAAACCTGCATGCGTTTTATCTTTTTAGGGCAGTAATTTTTCCGCGTCGCGGCAGACTTTGCCGTGTCGCAGCAACTTCTGCCGTGTCACGGTGCCCCAAAACTAGGGTTTTATCTTTTTAGAGTTCCGTGTGTTCCCTCTACTCATTTTCCCTATAAATACCCCCCTCCTTTTTATAGTTCGGGGCACCAGATCATTCTCTCTTCCTCTCTTCTACAAAAAAAAATAAAAAAAAATCATTCTCCTCTTTCTCTCTCTCATACTCTAAGCCATAAACTTATATTCCTATCTACATTATTCCTTCCTTAAGCACTCCAAGGAGTCCATACTTAAACCGAGGTTCCGTCTGAAACCAAGGCGTGAAAGGTATAATTGATCGAGGGTTTGGACCAAATCAACTATACTTTTTATTTAATTTAATTGTTTGAATTTGATTTATATTTTTATTGAAGTTACTAACAATTTATTTATGATGTAGCAATTTAAAGGAGCGTGCGAAATGTGAGTAATTAATTAATTTAATTACTTATTTTATTCTTGTTGCTAGTATCATGATTAGGTTTATTATGATTTGATTTGACTAAAAATTTATTCTTGAATTTCTTCCAATATTAATGTTTATTCTATTATTTTTTATTGATCACCATATTGCATGTTTAAATGGAATATGTAATTGAAAATCACGCCTAATAAGATAATTTGGACAATCGATTTAAGTTCCTTTTAATCTTGTTATTAATTCAAGTGATCACAATATTTTAAAATTATGTGTTGCATTAATATTCAACCAATTTAGCCTAATAATAGTTTGGAGCGAATTGAATATTTTGTTTGCATGCCTTTGAGATCACAGAGAATACTTTTCACTATAAGAATTGAGTAGAGGCCAATACGGGTGAATGTGAGTCCATGACTCACTTCGTACCATCATCCCCGATCCTCCTTTCGTGGTTCCGAACCATATGGAGTTAGTAATCTCATGGATAATGAATGGGGTGTAACCTTCACGGGTCAATCGTTGTTGCATTTCATTGTCCCTTTATCGTTGTTGCCTTTTATGATCCGTGAACGGTTTACAAGTTCCTTAAAAACTTGTTGGTGGCTCCCTACTCTATTTGTCCCTTATCGTATACATCAATTCCCACTTCCTATGAGTGACAAGCATATTCACAACATGCTTTATGTAGGCGCACTTTGAACGACGCCTACAATAATCTTTTATCTTCTTCTACAAGTTACTCTTCATTTTTTCTCTCTATTTTCTAGAGAATTCTTCCAGAATGAAGTTCAATTAATGAACTTCAACATGGTATCGGAGTTAAATTTTGCTCAAATTTGATTCAAATTCCGCTTTATCTTTCTCTTTTTGAGTTCGATTAACAAATTTTTCATCATTTTATCTTGTGTTTGATCATTGTTGGAGTAATGGCACCTCGAAATTCTGCAAGTCATTTAACAAGTTCTGATGTAAATGCAAAATTTGATCTATCACAGAATCCAAATTCTGTATACTTCTTGATAATTCTGGTTTTATAGCAACAAAATTGGCGAATGTTGTTTTTGATGGAACGAGTTTCAATGATTAGAAACGATCCATGACAATTGCTTTATCAGTAAGGAACTGATCCGTGCCATTTATGACACCTTTAGGCTATGTTTTCTTTATATTTCTATGCTCGTTTTTAGTCGTTTATGTCGTGTTTTTAGAGAATAATTCTCGATTTGCCTGATTTTGTGTTAGTTTAGAGAAATGCGTGCTTTTAATGGTTTTCTTATCATTTTATTCATTTCTCGGCTATTTCTCTTGCTTCTCCGTTTCTTTGTCTTGTTTTGTAGGTACGTCGAGTTCCCGCGGATTTAATAATCAAGGAGGGAGCTCAAGTTCATTCAAGGAATTTAACGGAGCCAAGTTAGGGAAGCCAAGCACGCAATTCAAGCCAATTCAAGAAACAATGGAAAATGAAGGCTTGCAAAGTATCAAAAAGGACCTTTGTGCATTGTTTCAGCCATATCTCGAGTTCTACAGATCGAATTGAGGTGATTGAAGTTGTGTTAGAAACTAGACTTGAAGAGCTATCCAATGATAGGTTGCACGACTTCATAAAATTCCTAGATTATGAGTTACATCCTTCCAAAGTTGGCCCTGCACATCTGCCGTGGGCTGTCCGCAGGCGCGGGCTACAGTACCCGCAGGCGCGGGGCTGCCGCAACCTATTTCTGCCCATTTTTGACCAGGAACTTGGAGAGGGATGGCCGCGGGCGCGGTCCTAGCCCTGCGGGCGCTGCTGATTTCTCCGTGGGCGCGGCTTTCTGGGTTTTACTCGCGATTTCTTTTATTTCCTCCTTTTGTATATATAGTGTACGACCTTCTTTATTCTTCATACATGAAATACTTTAGTTTAGGATTGTTTCTCTCTCCTCTAAGGAGGATTAACTTATATTAGGAGTTCCTCT